CATTGGACTGCAAGGAGATCCAACCAGTCCATCCTAAACGAGATCAGTCCTGGGTGTTCACTGAAAGGACTGATGCTGCAGCTGAAACTCCAATACTTTGGCCATCTCATGCGAAGAGCTCACTCATTTGTAAAGACCCTGATGCTGGGAAAGCTTGAGGGCAGGAGAAGGGGACGACAGAGGATGAGACGGGTGGATGGCATCACTGACTCAATGGACATGGGTTTGCGTGGACTCCAGGAGTTGGTGATGGACAGGAAGGCCTGACATGCTGCGGTTCATGGGGTTGCAAAGAGTCAGACACGACTGAGTGACTGAACTGAAATGAACAGCCTTCTTTATAGTCCAACTCTCACATCCATACATGACTACTGGAAAAATCATAGCTTTAACTATATGGATCTTCGTTGGCAAAGTGATGTCTCTGCTTTTTAATATGTTGTCTACGTTTGTCATAGCTTTCCTTCCAAGGAGCAAGTGTCTTTAAATTTCATGGCTGCAGTCATTGTCCACAGTGATATTGGAGCCCAAGAAAAGAAAATCTGTCACGGCTTCCACTTTATCCCTTTCTGTTTGCCATGAAGTGATGGGACCGGAATCCATGATCTTAGTTTTCTAATGTTGAGTTAAATTGGGTTTTTAAAAGTTTGTGTTATCCTCACACACATCCTCCCCAGCATTATGATGGACCACATAAATGTTACTATTTAAATGTAGCAGATAGATTTCTTACATTTTAGATACTTAGTAATACTAGTTCTAATTGAGTGAATTTCTGTTACTTAAGTACTGACTTGAGTTTATCAGTCACTTATAACATGTTATCTCATTATATTAACCTCAAGAAGTGAATATTCTACTTTTCATTTCATTGATTAAGAAACTGAGGATCAGACTGGCATTCCTAAGTGGCTGAACTGAAGTTCACAGTTAGTCATAAAAGCCATGATCTTTTCACTATACCATGTGCCCAAATTAAGCCTCTCTTGCCAACAAGTTTGTGAGGACAGAGATAATATGACACCCAAGAGGGGACAAGGAGAAGATTAGAGATAATTGATGCCTTTCCTAACACTTAGCCCAAAAAGCTCCTAGGGGACTTCAACTTAGTCATGAAGCCATAGATTAAAAACTTACAAAATGCCTAGCTTAGCACAGGATTACAGAGTCACACAGTCACTTACGGTGCTCGTTCAGGTAAACGATGAGCTCCAGGGCATTTCCCAGAACAACCATCTACTGAAAACAACTGTTCTTAGTTACTCCTTAGTTGTGTCCCACTCTTTGTGACCCCGTGGACTGTAGCCCACCAGGCCCCTCTGTCCATGGGATTCTCCAGGCAAGAATTCTTGAGTGGGTTGCCATGCCCTCCTCCAGGGGATCTTCCCAGCCCAGGGATCAAACCCAGGTCTCCCGCATTGCAGGCAGACTCTTTACCATCTGAGCCACCAGGGAAGCCCACTGAAAACAACTAGCAAGAGTGATATTTAAAAAAAAAAAAAAGAATAAAATAAGTCTCTGTTGAGCATGAAATAGTGCCCCCTTCTCTGTGACACTAAAATTTAGAGACATAGCTAGGGCATCAGTTCTGTACCTGCCTGCCTATCTGTTCTATACCTAAAATACCAGAAAGGGGAAATAAAGAGAATGAAGGTGCATGGCCCCAGAATACAAGGCACAATCAGACACTCCTTACAATGTTGCTTTTCCTAATTCAATCCCTGCCTGCAAGCCCTGGAGCCTTGGCATAACCCTGTCCTGTGCCCTAGAAATCTAGAGTTGACTAAGCAATAGTCCTGGCCTTCCAAAAGCTCAAGGTCTAATGAGGAAAACAAGATGAGAGATAAAAGTACACAGATCATTCTTCTCGTAAGTGGCATCATCCATGTCATAAAGAAAGATTTAGCAGGGTTCAAAGGCAGGGTCAATGACCCTGTGAGTGCCATTTGAAATGGGTCGGTGGGTAGGATATCGACTGGTGGAGAGGTGGGGCACAAGCAAAGGCTGACAGGGTGGGCACCTTCCAGAAAAGGCACTCGGTTCCTGGGCCGTTGCGGTCAGGTTGACTGGTACCACAAGTACCAGTGGAGGGCCTGGCACACCACGGTGAGGATTCTGTCTAACGGACGACCCTTGAAAGAGCTGTTTCCATGGAGAGGAAATATCTAAAATCAGACCCCACAGTGGGATTTGCATTCATGAATGCAGTGGCCAGCCCCCCACTCTGTTTAAATCAGACCCCAAAGTGGGATTTGCATTCATGAATGCAGTGGCCAGTCCCCCCAATCTGTTCAATCAGACCCCACAGTGGGATTTGCATTCATGAATGCAGTGGCCAGCCCCCCCAATCTGTTCAATCAGACCCCACAGTGGGATTTGCATTCATGAATGCAGTGGCCAGCCCCCCCAATCTGTTCAATCAGACCCCACAGTGGGATTTGCATTCATGAATGCAGTGGCCAGCCCCCCACTCTGTTCAATCAGACCCCACAGTGGGATTTGCATTCATGAATGCAGTGGCCAGCCCCCCACTCTGTTCAATCAGACCCCACAGTGGGATTTGCATCCATGAATGCAGTGGCCAGCCCCCCACTCTGTTCAATCAGACCCCACAGTGGGATTGGCATTCATGAATGCAGTGGCCAGCCCCCCACTCTGTTTCTTTCTTCTTGACAGGCTGCTGCTGACATCTGAAACTTGACTCAACACCTGACAGGTCATTTTCTCACTTTCTATCCTCCTTGGAAGGTTTCATTAGTGATACATTCAAAGTAAAATAAACAAAGGGGAAAAAAAAGATATTAAAGTGGTGGCAGAAAGATCAGCCGAGATCAGCCTAAGGAAGGGATCAAGGGATCTTGTAAGTAGGAAGAAGTCTGCACACCCGGCCATCACCCTCCCCCAACACTCACAATCCGCTGCAGAAGGTGAAGGTCAAATGGTGAGGAAAGAGGAGGTTCCAGGTTTCTCATCGATTCAACAGACCCATAGCCAGTGAGCACTGCAGTTAAACACACAGATCTGGAGTCAGATAGATGCAGTTTGGGTGTACACTCACAGGCGGTGTGAACCTGAGCCGGTTACAACCTCTGGCCCTCCGTTAACCTGTCTGTAAAATGGAAATACTGGTAGCATTCACTTTACAGGGTTCTTGAAGAGAAGAAATGAAATGATGCAAGAGAAAGAGCTTATCCTAGTGAGCCTGAAAATGCCTTCTCTTACCATCACCTAAAACTTAACAATAACTTTTCATGGAAGCAGAGTTCAGCTCCACTACTTTCTGCTGCGTTCAGAGCAGGGAGTCACAAACCCTCCCTACCCCAATGTGTGCATGAGAGAGAGAAAATAAAAAAAACTTCACTCTCAGATTGTTTTGGCTTTTTTTAAGAAGAAAGAACCCTCCCCAGAGCCCCATGATGAGCACCTTAATGCCATTCTGGGGAAGAATTAGAAATCAAGGCCCACTTAAAAGGGACAGGCAGAGTAAAAAGAAATAAGGGCTGAGTTTTGTGGCTGTCTGGCATCCAGAGTCTGGGACTAGAAAAAGCAACGTTAGCTAAAGTGAGATGCTAAGGATGTGAAAAGTACACGTGTGTGTACCAGATGAGATGTGCTTTGATCACATACACACACACACATTCTGATTAGAGTGGTACGGGGAAAGCACAGCTCACATCTGTCCCATTTTATTATTTGGGACATCTAAAAGATGTCAAGGGTTTGAGACAGATGGAATGGTGGGGATGTCTGCAGTCACAGGGTTCCAGCTGGTTCACGTCAGGGGCTGCACGGGAGTATCAGGACTAGACAACTTACCTGGAGAAGTGGAGCAGCGATGCTGTTTAAAGCAAATGAGGACTATGGGACTCATGCCTGCCCCCAGGAAGGAGTGGGGCCACATTTAACCATAGGCTCCCTAACTCCTCTGACACTGACTCAAGGAATTCAGTGCCTACTGTAGGAATCCTACTGTACCTTGGCTTTTCTGAAAATGCCCAGAGCTAAAGACTGGAAAATGAAAAGTCCCCAAGAATGACCACCTACAAAAATTTTTAATGCTTCTTCAGGCTACTCTACAGAAATGATTGCACAAAGAACCAAAATGCAAATGGTCACTAACACGTATTTCAGCAGAGCCCAGGGTTTGACTGAATGCCATCTTTTTCAAGAAGTGTGATCTGTATATAAATAGAGCCTTAGTTTTGTTCACACGAAGCATCCAAACATTTTGGCAAATTAACTGTCATCTGCCAAGCCAAAGGCCAGAAGCTTCCTTGGGGAGGAAGCGGAGGACAATTCGCAGTTTAACAAAACACAGCTGCAACCCAGAAAAACCGCCTTCATTCTAAGCCTCTTCACCTTCCATCAAAGAAAACAGAATACAGCTAAAAGCACTCCCGAGACTCCCACCCCTCAGGTCACAAAATTAAAGAACATTTCTAACAGGTCCTGAAACACCCACAGCATCAGAGGAAGACCAACAGCCCACACCCCCATTCGACACCCAGCACTCTGGTGCTCTGAAACCCCAGTCTGTGGCTGAGAATTTGGGATTTATTTAGTTACCATCCCTAATGTACCCTTTCCTGGATGAGGTAAATATATCGGTGTAGTTCACCCATGGAAAGGAACTATTGATTTTTATTATGGAAAAGCAGACTAGGTGAATTGTACACTTGGATTTAATTACTTTTGTCAGCAGTCCAATGACTTCAAGGATAAACCTGGAGAAAGCACTTCCAGCAGATAAATGGAAAATCTCCAACGGCTCCGACTTTGTATGGGAGGCTGTGACCTCAATTCAGCTGGAGTTGGATTTTACCTTGGGTAGTGTGTTTATGAGTCTGTGTGAGGAATGAAGAATCAATTATTAAAACAAAAGATCTTAAACTTGGAATGAAAACTCACAAGCTAACATAGTGGTTTTAGCTTTTATATACTATAGCTCGTGGGAACTAGAAGAGCCCCTTATCACCTCATCCTGTTCTTTCATTTTACAGATGAGGAAGATGGGAGAATTGGTGACTTGTCCAAGGTCACCTCCCTCCTTTGAGATACACTTTCCACTGTATGACAGTGACCTTCAAGTGAAATTTGCCCAGTGGGATGCGGCTCCCAATGCAGCCTCTTGCTACGGGTACTGAAGTACTCCAGGTACTGGAAAATTAGCTTATCCTTTCTCTGCTAAAAAGGATATTATGCTCCATACCCTGGTTTAACTGATAAGGACCTCTGCATTTACAACCAACCTGTATTCAAAATCTTTGTAAACAGTGGTTTGGAATTTGAACTCTACTTTCCCCATAGAAATAATATTAGAAACCGTGGGTTGATGCCAAGACAACTCATAGAATTGTATTTAAATTAAGACTCAATGCCAGGGGGACTATAGAAAAACATAATCAATAGCAAATACTTTTGCAATTCTTCCAATTAATGATTTAAAAAAATAGAAAAGCAATCCATTCCAAAGTAAATTATCAGCACTTAGGTTATGCTGAATATTGATGCTTTTTTTAAAAGCAGTTTTAATAAGCATTCATTTAACAGGAATATTCTGAGTGCCTACCTCTAAGAAGCAACCGGAGCCTGGAAGGGACAAGAAAACAAAGAAAGTGAAAAGGTTAGAGACATGTCCTAAGGTACAAAAGGAACACAACTGCCTGGAGAGATTAGGAGGGCCCTTGCAGAGGAGGCGACTTCTGTTTCAGTCCTCAAAGGATGAGCAGGAGTTTGACAGGAAGGTGAAGAAAGGAACATCATGCCGGGAAGTAGACAGAAATGCGCAGAGGCTATCCAGATGAGAATTTGAGCACTCTCGGGACTAATTAGTTCTCATTTCACTTAAGAATGTGGAGCTTCCCTATTTGCCAAATACAGATATTTCACTAGCACTGCTCATTGAGGAACTGAGGGACACTGCTCATCGTTCCTCAGTCATAATAAAGACTAGATTTAGCTACGAATGAAAGAAAGAAAGAGCGAAGGAAGAAAAGGGTGCTGAGCAAGCACTGAAAATGCAATCGGAAGACCCAGCTCAAATGTCATGTGTTTGCCATCCCTGTAGGGTGCCAGGGTCTTGACTCATTTGCTTTTGAAATCCTCAGAGCACAGTGTGGGGCCTGTATTAGGTACTTAGCAAATGTGTATTTGAGTCAAAAGTCAAAAATTCCCACAATGAGATACCACGTTATAACCACAAGCGTGGCTGTAACAAAAAAATAAAATAAAATAAAAAAAACAGGTAATAACAAGTGTGAATGTAAGATACAGAGAAATTGAAATTGTTATCTATGTTGGTGGGAATATAAAATGGTTAAAGAACTTTAGGAAACAGTTTGGTAGCTCCTCAAAAGATTAGGCATAGAGTTACCATATTACCTCACAATTCCACTTCGAGGTATATAATAAAGGGAAACGGAAACACACCACACAACAAGAAACATACATTAGTGTCAACAATAATGGCAACAGTATTCAGAATATCCAGAAAGTGGAAACAATCCATCAGCTAATGAATGGATAAATAAAATCCAATCAATCCATAAGACAGAACATTATTCTGCCATAAAAAGAAACAAAGTACTGGCATATGTTACAACATGGATAAATTGGTGTTTTTTAATAAATAAATTATGCTTGACACACAATATTAGTTTCAGGCGTGCGTGTGTGCAAGCTAAGTCACTTCAGTCATGTCTGACTCTTTGTGACCCTATGGACTGTAGCCTGCCAGGCTCCTCTGTCCATGGGATTCTCCAGGCAAGAATACTGGAGCGGGTTGCCTTGTCTTCTTCCAGGGGATCTTCCAGACCCCGGGATCCAACTCTCATCTCTTAGGTCTCCTGCAATGGCAGGTGGGTTCTATGTCTCTAGCGCCACCTGGGAAAACCCAGTTACAGGCATACAACATAGTAATTCTATTTTTTATGCATTATGAAACAATCACCACTGTAAATCCACTTACCATCTACCACCATACAAAGTTATTATAACATTATTGACTATATTCCCTGCATGTACCTTACAACTCTGTGACTTATTTTAAAGCTAGAAGTTTGTACCTCTTAATCTCCTTCACCTGTTCTGTCTGTTTCCCAGCTCCATTCCCGTCTGGCAACCACTAGTTCATTCTGTAAGTCTATATCTATAAGTCTGTTTCTGTTTCTATTTTCTTTCTTTGGTTCATTTGTTTTGCTTTTTAGATTCCTCATGAGTGTAATCACACTATCCATCCACATTGTCACAAATGGCAAGATTTCATTCATTTTATCTAGATAGATAGAAAAAATGAAATAATGCAACCACAAAAAAAGAACTGTATATAAATATAAAATATATACTATATATATATATGGGCTTCCCAGGTGGCACTTGTGGTAGAGAACTCACCTGCCAATGCAGGAAATACGAGCGACGCAGGTTCAGTCCCTGGGTCAGGAAGATCCCCTGGAGGAGGGTACGGTAACCCACTCTAGTATTCTTGCCTGGAGAATCCCATGGACAGAAGAACCTGATGGGCTCCAGTCTAAAGGGTCACATAGAGTCCAACATGACTGAAGCAACTTGGCACACACACACACACACTATATATATTGTGTGTATCTATCTATCTATATATATATATAAATATATACATATACAATCCCAGATATAGATATATAGATATTCTCAGAAACAGGATTGGATTTTACAGTAGTCCTATGTTTAGTTTTCTGAGAAACCTCCTTGCTGTTTTCCATAATGCCTGCACCAGTTTGCATTCCACCAACAGCACACAGGATTCCCTTTCTCCACATCCTCATCAACACTGTGGTTTCCTGTCTTTTATGATAAGAGCCATTCTGACAGGTGTGAGGTGACAAAAGTATTGTGGTTTTGATTTGCCTTTCTCCGATGAATGGTGAGCACCTTTTCATGTGCCTCTTGACCATCTGTATATCTTCTTTGGAAAAATGTTTATTCAGGTCCTTTGCAGATGTGTTAATAAAATTCTTTGCTTTATATGTTGACTTGTATGAGTTTTTTGTATAGTTTGGATGTTAATCCTTTATTGGATATACCATTTGAAAATATCTTCACCCATTTGGTAGGTTGCCTTTTCACTGTTAGTGGTTTCCTTTAGGTTTTTAGTTAGACATAGACCTGTTTGTTTATTTTTGGCTTTTGTTGAGTCACTCAGATTCCCTATTCTTGCCCAGTTTGATGAGCTTCTTTATGATTGTTTCTTTGAATTCTTTACCGGGTAAATTAGTTATCTCCATTTCATTAGGGTTTTTGGGGGGTTTTATTAATATTTTGTTCTTTTATTTGGAACATATTCCTCCTCCTCATTTGTATGACTAGATATAAAAGCTGGATTTAGCAAAGGCAGAAGAACCAGAGGTCAAATTGCCAACATCTGTTGGATCATAGAAAAAGCAAGAGAATTCCAGAAAAGCATCTAATTTTGCTTCATTGACTATGCTAAAGCCTTTGAGTGGTGGATCACAACAAACTGGAAAATTCTTCAAGAGATGGGAATACCAGACCACCTTACCTGCCTCCTGAGAAATCTGTATGCAGGTCAAGAAACAACAGTTACAACTGGACACGGAACAACGGACTGGTTCCAAATTAGGAAAGGAGTACGTCAAGGCAGTATATTGGCACCCTGCTTATTTAACTTATACGCAGAGTTTATCATGTGAAATTCTGGACTGGAGGAAGCACAAGCTGGAATCAAGATTGTGGGAGAAATATCAATAACCTCAGATATGCAGATGACACCCCCTATGGCAGAAAGCAAAGAGGAAAATAAAGAGCCTCTTAATGGAGGTGAAAGAGGGGAATGAAAAAGCTGGCTTAAAACTCAACAATCAGAAAACTAAGATCATGGCCGCTGGTCCCATCACTTCATGGCAAATAGGTGGGGAAACAATGGAAACCAGTGACAGACTTTATTTTCTTGGGCTCCAAAATCACTGCAGATGGTGACTGCAACAATGAAATTTAAAGACGCTTGCTCCTTGGCAGAAAGGCTATGACCAACTTAGACAGCATATTAAAAAGCGGAGACATTACTTTGCCAACAAAGCTCCATACATTCATAGGTATGGTTTTTCCAGTAGTCATATATGGATGTGAAAGTTGGACCATAAAGAAATCTGAGCACCAAAGTATTGATCCCAACATCAGAAAAGACCCTGATGTTGGAAAAGATTGATTGCAGGAGAATTGGACGACAGAGGATGAGATGGTTGGATGGCATCACCAACTCAATAGGCATGAGTTTGAGCAAGTTCCAGGAGTTGGTGATGGATGGGGAAATGTGGTGTGCTGCAGTCCATGGGGTCCAAAGAGCTCAACATGATTGAGAGACTGAACCGAACTTCTCCCAATTAGGCAAGAAAGCTACTTCTCCTGGTCATGAAGGAGTGGCCTTGTGCGGAAGCGTCACTTGTGTAGACTGCTTGTGCCTGGGGCTCGGGCAGGCTGACTGAGCTGGAGCAGTCCATGCTGTGGGCAGCCCTGGAGAGCATTGCACCCGAGGCCGCCTCGGTGGGAAGCAGGGCTGGAGTCAGAGAGGGTGTGGTCCGGGGGGCCGCCCGGGGGATCAAACAACGGCGCTTCTCAGAGCCGCCTGCCCCAGAGAGGGCTCTCATTTCGCAGAAGCCCTAAGGTTAGTCAATGAAATTTTTCTTCCCATGTAGTCTAGGTATCACTTAAAATGCTGCTTTTTCGCTGTGTCTCAGGGTGGGTGAGTCTGCACTTGGGCCCCTCACCTCTGTCCCATACTATTCCTGGTTGCCATGACAGGGTGGAGCGCCCACGGTTACCATGTCTCCTTTCCTACCAGTTTCTGTGTGGTCCTTCTAGGTGCAGTAGCTGGCCAATCAGCCCCCAGATCTTCTTCAGGAAGAATCGCTTCACTGGCAGGTGTAGATTCAGTTACACATGGGAAGAGGTAAGCTCAGGGTCTTCCTACACTGTCATGTTGAGCAACCCCCACCAACATGGATGGACTCTGAAAACATTAAGTGAAAGGAAAAAGTTAAAAAAGGCCAGATATGGTCTTTTCCATTTATATGACGTATCCAGAATATGTAAATCTATAGAGACAGAAAGTAACTAGTGATTGCCTAAGGCTGAGGCTAA